GTCCAGGAGGGGGTTAACCCACCAAAAGCTGCATCAGCACTGCAGATTGCTTGAAAGACCTGGAACCGCTCTGACACTCACTCCAAATGTCCTAGAGAGTGGCGGAGGAGGAAGGGGGCCCTGGATGGAGGCGGCAGACAGAGGCAATTCATATGCAAAAAACCCGCACCATAAATTCCTCTCTCCCTTTCCCCCCCCTCTCCCCCCCCCCAAAAAAAGTGAAAAGGTGGTAGAGGGAGGAGGGGGAGGAAGCCGCCCGGCACTCTTTGGCAGCGGTAGTGGCTGGTGGGGCATCCTCCGAGCCCTCCATCAGCAGGGTGCAGTATATCTGCCATCTTTGTTTGGGCTGCAGTGACTCATCAGAAGTCTCTCTTGAACCAAGACTTCATAGCATTTCCCTGGCATCGATTTCCTCCCCCCCAGCCCTTCCCATCCCCGTTTCTTCCTTTCTCTCTCTCTCTCCCCCTCCCCCCCCCCCCCCCCCCCCCCCTCGCCCCCCCCCCCCGCTTCGAAATTGGCATTTTGCACCGGGAACCTTATCAAAGGCTGCTATTCATTGCAGGGAACCGGCTGAACTGCTTAACCACCATCCGGCCCCCGGGACTGCCAGCCAGCCCTGGATCTTCCTCCTGCTGCTTCCACCGCTAGAGAAATCGGACTTCGCTGGAGGGAGAAAAGAAAAAAGAAAAACCACCACCAAAACCAAAACCAAACCAAAGCAGGAGCTTCTCATCGCGCCCGGGCGAAGGAAGAAGGGATGCTTTGCTGTTCCTGTACCTCCTGCTTTCGTCCCTGTTAAAGGTCCGTCCGTCCGTCCGTCCGTGGGAAAGCAGGCAGGCAGGCAGATCTGGGCAAAGCAGAAGTTTGCTGCAAGGGGGTAGGCATTGTATTGGCTGGACACCAGGGATGGCTGCCCAGAAACGGGTGGGGGTGTGGGCAGATGCCAGGCTGGCACCCAGGGATGCATTTATCTGTCCGAAAGCTCCTTACTTTCTCTGTGTGTCTCTCTCTCTCTGTGTCTCTCTGTCTCTTTCTTTCCTTTCCTTTCCTGGCTCTTAATTCCAGCCCTCTCCCCCTCCTCCTGGGAAAGGGACGGCCAGAGTTGAAATGGGGTGGGGGGGGGCTGTAGGGGGGGGGGGTTGGGGGCGCTTTGGGTGGGGGGGGCGGGATTGTTGCAGCCCCGTGTGACCCCATTAGGGGAATGGGAAGGCTGGCTCCGTGAATCCCTCTCGGAGTAGCTGACGGTGCCCACTTCCGTCTCCTGGCTCCGTTTTTTGCTGCGTGCTCCCTTGTCCCAGCCAGCTTCATCCTTAAAATCCCTCGTTTTGGGGGGCCAAGCAGAGAGCCTGGCAGGTGTCCACAGAGGCGCCTCCTTCCCCTTCCTCTGTCCCCCACGCCCAATCTGGAAAGTGGGGTCCCTTGTCCCCTTTCTGCCCTGGGCTCCAAGGACCGGGGTGGAAGAGGCTCCTCCGTGGAGGAGAAAAGTTTTTGGGGACCTGCTGACCCACATCCAGGCCACCCAGGAGATAAGAAGACCACCCGAGGCTACTTTTAACAGAGTTGGTAGGGACGTTAGAGGTCTTCCAGTCCAGCCCCTGCTCAAGACAAATGGCTGTGTCCAGTCTCTTCTCAGAAGAGTTAAGAAGTCCTGAACGCCTGCCCGCAGCCAGGAGCGTGATCCTCACTGGATCGAGGTTGACTCAGCCTTCCATCGTTTCCCGAGGTTGGCAAAACGAGGACCCAGATGGATTGGGGGCTCTGGAAGCCACTCCGAGAGGGCATTGAAGAGCGGGGTAGAAGTCTTAAGTGAGATCGCTATCTCAAATTCGATCCCGCGGTCATAGGGATAGTCCATAGGGTGGAAAGCAGTCTTAAAGTTACTTTTTTCCCCCCAGTGTCGTCGTATCAGTCACTGAACAAACTGTTGTAAGTGAAGGACTGCCCAGATTCAAGCATTTCCCTCTCTCCCTCCTCTCCTCCCCTCCCTCTTCCCTCCCCCCCCCCCCCCCCCCCCCCCCCCCCCCCAATAGATGCACTTTCTGTTGGATGCTGTCGCCGCACTGAATGCGTAAGGACGGGGAAAGCCATGTCCCAGATGCTGCACATCGAGATCCCCAATTTTGGGAACACCGTCCTGGGCTCCCTGAATGAGCAGAGGCTTCTGGGCCTCTACTGCGATGTCTCCATCGTGGTCAAGGGCCAGGCCTTCAAGGCCCACCGGGCGGTGCTGGCCGCCAGCAGTTTGTACTTCCGGGACTTGTTTAGCGGGAACAGCAAAAGCGCCTTCGAGCTGCCCAGCTCGGTGCCGGCTACTTGCTTCCAGCAGATCCTCTCCTTTTGCTACACGGGCAAGCTGACCATGGCGGCCAGCGAGCAGCTGGTGGTGATGTATACCGCGGGCTTCCTGCAGATCCAGCACATCGTGGAGAAAGGGACCGACCTCATGTTCAAAGTCAGCTCGCCCCACTGTGACTCTCAGACGGCCATGATCGAAGAAGCCGGCTCGGAGCCCCAGAGCCCTTGCAACCCCGTGCAGATGGCGCCCATGCCTTACGTCATGTCCCCCTCGCTGCCCATCCCGCTCCTCACCCGGGTCAAGCACGAGAACCTGGAGCAGCAGGCGCCGCTGCCGGCCAAGCGGGCCTTGGAGGGGGGCCTGCGAGAGGTGTCGGCGGGGGGCTCCGCGGGCACCACGGCGGTGAAGCTGTCCCGCGTCTCCTACTACGGGGTGCCCAGCCTCGCCCCGCTCATCTCCAGCATCCCGCAGGCTCCGTATGTCCAGGGGGAGCGGACAAGCCCCGGGGCCAGCAGCATCCCAACCACAGACAGCCCCACGTCCTACCACAACGAAGAGGATGAGGAAGACGATGAAGCCTACGACACCATGACTGAAGAGCAATATGGGCAGATGTACATCAAGTCTACAGGCAGCTACGCAGGTAATCGTATTTTCTTCTCCTTTTCCCCATTACTATTAACAAAATAACAGAGTTGGAAGGGGCCTTGTAGGTCTCCTAGTGCAATCCCACGCTCTGGCGGGAAACTCTACACCATTTCAGAGAAGTGGTTGTCCAATCTCTTCTTTTCTTTTCAAATAAAATTTTATTTCAGTTTTTCACATTTAAAGCAAAAGAATAAACATCTCTTTTAGTGAACAGCCTGGTTCCAGGTTTTCACATCTCCATTCAGACAATGGCTTTAATTACATATTCATCTTTCATATTTAATTCCACATCTTACCACTACTTTATACATTCTCTGTTGTTTTTCTCAAATATTTCCCTCAGGCAAGAAGTCTATTTTATCGATTTTCAGTTCATTTCTTAACCAGTTTGTTATAACTTTAAACCATTCCTGTATTTTCATATTCATTATATTTAATCTGTCATGTTTACAATTTTATTGCCTATTCTTATTTCATCATTTCAAAAATTCCACCTCAATTCAAACATTTTGAAACAAAGATTTCCCCTACAATTACCAATTAGATTGTGCCACCCCTAGAGCTTATAATTAATGTGGTTGGTTGTCCAATCTCTTCTGGAAAACCTCCAGTGATGGAGATTCCACAACTTGTGCAGGGAAGCTGTTCCACTGATGAATTGTTCCTTAATTCCAGGTTGCTTCGCTACTTGATTAGTTTCCATCTGTTGTTTCTTGTCCTGCCTTCTGGGGCTTTAGAGAATAGGTTGACCCACTCTTTTTTGGGGGGGTGGGGGGCAGCCCCTTAGATATTGGAACATTGCTATTATGTCTCCCTTAGTCCTTCTAGAAGTTTTGTCTACTACTTCTGAACTCAAACATTTAATCTTCTCTGCATTTATGCCGAGATGGACCTCCGATGTTGGCTTTGGCCATCTTTGGGGCAACAACAAATAGTGGTTCTGGAGAGAGGAGTTTTTCTGATTTGGGGTGGAAGAAATATTGAGCATTTGGGCTTGAGCATTGAATGTTAAAAGGCTCTGGTTGTATTTGCAGCAAGCTCAGGGAAAGCCATGGCCCTAAGATCCTGAGAAGGCCAACCAGGCAATCAAAGGAAATGGATTGGATTGTTTGACGATCACTGTCAAATCTTGGTTCTTCTTCTTCTTCTTCTTCTTCTTCTTCTTCTTCTTCTTCTTCTTCCTCCTCTTCCTCTTCCTCTTCCTCCTCCTCCTCCTCCTCCTCCTCCCTTCTTCTTCCTTGTTTCCTTCTTTTTCTCCTCCTTCTTCCTTCTTTTCTCCTCCTCCTCCTCCTCCTCCTCCTCCTCCTCCTCCTCCTCCTCCTCCTCCTCCTCCTATGGGTTTAAAGAATGAGGTACAGATTCCTCAACCCCAATATTGTTTATAAGCAGTAATGAAGCGGAGTCTTCCTGGAGTGAAGGGCCTTTGAGTCTAGCTCAGCCTCTGGTGACTGCAAGGAGTCCTCAAGTTTCGACCACAATTGAGCCCAGAATTTATGCTGCTACGTGAAACTTTGGTTGAGTGAGTTTTGTCCCACTGTACGACTTTTCTTGCCTTCTTGGGTTCAGGGAATCGTTTGCATTTGTTAAGTTAGCAGCACGGTTGTTAAGTCAATCTGGCTTTCTCCTGGACGTTGCTTGTCAGAAGGTTGCAAACGGGGAGATTCACTGCGACTGTCGTAAATACGAATCAGTTGCCCAGTTGTCTGAATTTTGACCACGTGACCATGTAAAGCAAAGCTCGTAAGTCTGAAAACAGGTCATAAAGTCCCTTTTTTTCAGTGTCGTTGTAACTTAGAACGAGCGTCTGTAAGTCGTGGACTACTTCTATAGAGTTTCTTCCCTCCTTTCTTCGTTCTTGCAACCCACCTGCCTCTAGAAACAGATACTCACTCGTGCGTGCCTAACCTGGCATTTCCTCAGTGTAGGAACGAGCGTCTGATTTGGGCCGCTGTGTGTCGCTTTCCAAATTGATAAGCATCTCGGGCTATTTTAAGAGGACAGAAGGCAGAAAATATATTTTTCTTCTCCCCGACTTGGTCGTTTCCCACGAGAAACCCCTTCGATAGGAAATGGATGCTGCCCAGGGAAAGCCAGAGAAGAATCATGAAGCATCACTAACAGAGGTTGGACCGGATGCCTGTTTGTTAGATTTTGCTCCGTTTGATGGTCCTTTCTTGGCCGTGCTGGTTAAGCTGCCTCGGAAGCTGGGAAGGTTTCAGACGGTGATCACAGGATATAAATTCACGCCAGTTGCCAAATATCCAAATTTTGATCACGTGGTCCTGGGATGCAGCAGCGGCCATAAGTGTGAGAAATGACCGTAAGTCACTTTTTTTTCAGGGCCGTTATAATCTCAAACGGTTGCTAAACAAATCGGGGACCGCCTGTACGTTCAAAACTATATATAGTTGAAACAACGAGAGGCCTTAATGCAGTACAGCCTCTATTTTCAGCTGCTGCTGCTGCTCCTCCTTCTTCAGAATAAATAAATAAAAATAATAATAATTTACGTACCACCGTGAGAAATGTAGTAGAAATACTCCAGGAATCTGAGTATCGAGAACTGGCTTTCTGGCTTTAAAATCTACTCAGAATCCGTTCCAAATCAGGCTGCCTGCAGAACGGCGAGACTTCAGCTCCCATCATTCCCGTCCAGCAATCCAGTTGGCCAAGCACCTGAATTTTGAATCTACCAAGTAAATATTTATATCAAATAATCACAGATCCAGTTTGGTTTAGTGCTTAAGGCACCAGGCTAGAAAGCCGGAGATGGTGAGTTCTAGTGCTGCCTACTTCATGAAAGCCGGCTGGGTGACTTAAGGCCAGTCCAAAAACGAACCAAAATTCCTTTTCCAACCAAACTCTTTGCAGGAACAGTTTTTTTCACACAGATCTTTCTCCTCCTCTTTCTTTTCAAGGGCCTCCAGAGAAGCCAGAGCAAATTCCCGTGGAGAGCCGCTCCTGTGTCCTCATCCGGCGCGATTTGGTAGCGCTTCCGGCAAGTCTGATTAGCCAGATCGGTTACCGCTGCCACCCGAAACTCTACTCGGAAGGCGATCCTGGAGAAAAACTTGAATTGGTTGCAGGTATTTACCTACAGGGCCTGCGTCTGGGTGCAGAACAAATGCTCTCAGTGCACCTAGAAGAAATGATACATTTGTCAAGAATCATAAGGTACAACACTTAGTGATAGTCCTAGGGTACAATAAGCAATCAAATCATACCAGGAAACTAAATAAAACAATATAAATCATAAAGATACAAGCGACAAAGTTACAGTCACATGCTCATCAGTGGGAGGAGATGGGCAATAAAAGAGTGATGAGGAGATTAATAGTAATAGTAATGCAGACTTAGTAAACAGTTGGACAGTGTTGAGGGAATTATTTATTTAGCAGAGTGATGGTGTTGGGGAAAAGCTGTCCTTGTGTCTAGTTGTTCCGGTGTGCAGGGCTCTATATAAGAATTTCCTTCTTCCTCTAACTGGCCTCTGCTTTTAAATTCCATGCTTGGCCTTCCAAGGAAGGTGTCCCTCAGGGCTTAGGAACAAGGAGCTTCCCTCAGTATACTTTCAAACGGTGTAATTGCTCTGCTGGGAATTATTGATTTATTTTTTATTTTTTTTAAAAAAGCATCTAATTGAATTTCTTCATACGGCCTTCATCCTTAGCCTCTCTCCCTTTCTCCTGCTCCTCCTCCTTTTCCCCAGGTTCTGGGGTTTACATCACCCGAGGACAGCTCATGAATTGTCACCTCTGTGCAGGTGTGAAACACAAAGTCCTCCTTCGACGCCTCCTGGCCACGTTCTTCGACAGGTAAGATGGCCGCGTCACCTGCGCTGCTCCTTCATTTTGGGGGCTGGGTAAAAATACTTTCCAGAAAAAGGAATGGCAAAAAATTTTTTTTGTGGGATTAGAGCAGAGCCCAGAAGAACCATTCCGAAACCAAGAAATGTTTTAATTTTTATTTCTATGTATTCATTTGTATCCCTGCTTTAATAGCTCAAGGCAGTGAACTTATCCAACACGCCTTCCGCCTCCTATTTTCCCCAGCAAAAGTCAAAAGTCACCCAGTTGGCTTTCATGCCTTAGGCAGGACTAGAACTCACGGTCTCCTGGTGATTGGCCCAGAGTCACTCAGCTGACTTTCATAGCTAAGGCACTACTGCATTGGATACCATGTTTAAACTGGGTTAGGATGGATTAAGATCTGCTTGGAACTCTCCAGCTCTTTCGTCCAGCAGTGGGAGATAATGGCTTGTTGGAGATTTTGTTCTGAAGTCAGAGAGGTGAAATTGCAGCGCCCAGAATCCCCCAACCAGCAAGGCTTGCTGTAAATTGAGGTTTACTGGCAAGGAAGCATATATTCCTGAGGTTTTTTATTTTTTTCCCCTGCTTCTTTTGGAAACAGGAACACGTTGGCCAACAGCTGTGGAACAGGAATTCGTTCTTCCACCAGTGACCCCAGCCGGAAACCCCTCGAGAGCCGGGTGCTCAATGCTGTGAAATGTAAGTAGGAGGATACGAGTGGCCCTTTGGGCCAAGCTAGGTGGGGACAGGAAGCAGATAGGTGGGTGGGTGGGTGGGTGGGTGGATGGATGGATGGATGGATGGATGGATGGATGGATAGATAGATAGATAGATAGATAGATAGATAGATAGATATAGAGTAGATAGATAGATAAATAGATAGATATAGAATAATAGGTAGGTAGGTAGGTAGGTAGGTAGGTAAATAGATAGATAGATAGACAGACAGACAGTTATAGTAATATAGAATAGATAGATAGATAGATAGATAGATAGATAGATAGATAGATAGATAAATAGATAGATATAGAGTAATAGGTAGGTAGGTAGATAGATAAATAAATAGATAGTTATAGTAATATAGAATAGATAGATAGATAGATAGATAGATAGATAGATAGATAGAGATAGATATAGAGTAGATAGATAGATATAGTAATAGGTATAGAGATGAGATAGATAGATAGATAGATAGATAGATAGATAGATAGATAGATAGACAGACAGACAGACAGACAGATAGATACTGTTGATTATATAGATAGATATAGATTGGCTAGGTAGATGGATGGATGAGCAGGCTTTCCAGAGCAGATTCCGAAGATATACCTACCATCACCATCTAGACAACCAGAACTCTCTTCAAACCTCTTTCATGCCCTTGATTTCCTGATCCTCGCTTATCGGACGCTGACTGAGGGGGAACCTCACCTGGCCGTAACCTTGCCCAGCCCGCCCCGTAGCCACCCTTGCAGCCTCTTCCCGCCCTCGGCTAAACCCTCCCCCCCTTCCCCTGTCTTTGCAGTGTATTGTCAGAATTTTGCCCCCAGTTTCAAGGAGAGCGAGATGAATGTCATCGCGGCCGACATGTGCACGAACGCCCGCCGAGTGCGCAAGCGATGGCTTCCCAAGATCAAGTCCATGCTGCCCGAGGGGATGGAGATGTACCGCTCCGTCATGGGCTCCACCACCGCCAACGTCCTCCTGGACCCCGAATTCCAGCCTTCCAGCGCCCAGATGTTCGAGCAACGGATCTATGCAGAAAGGAGGGGGGATTCTGGGACGATTGTGGCCCTCAGAACTAACACAGTGACGGTCGACCAGAGCAACGGGACGGGCCCCTTGTTTGAGCCGAGCGAGGAGGGTGAAGGGGCCAGTTCTGTCATCCAGGAGTCAGCCGGCCCAGAAGCCCTGGCTTCCGATACCCAAAGCACCTCACAGCCCTTCGAAGAAGGATCGGGGTCCCCCAGCCGGCCGGAAACCCCTGCGGGGCGGCCGGAGGCGACTTACGGGGCCCCCTTATGAACCAGACCGCCGAGGGTGGGCCGTCACTCTCTGGAAGGATCTGTAATCCTAAAGCTGCTTGCATGTTCTTATTAATTACAGAAGAAAACAAACAAACAAAACACCCCCATACGATCAAACCATTTACCTACTGAACTGCTACCGTTGCCTGAGAAAAAATTTGATTTTTGAGTCTGCTCGTGTTTAGGACCGATGGAGGCGCCACCCGGCGGGAAGAGGCCCCCTTTTTTCCCCCAGATTGGTACAGAAAGGAGTAGCAGGGGCTCCTTCTCTCCCACTCTCCCCCCCCTAAAAAAAAATAAGGAAGGAGGGAGGCTATATTCACCCCCACCGCCGTCTGTTCACCAGCCACCTGGGCTCGCGAGAACTTAGTTGTGATCATGATCCTGGTTTGATTCAATTCAAGTTTGGTGTAGGTTGCTTGCCTCGGATCTCCGGGTTGAACCCTTACATTGTTGAGCAACATTGGAGGAAACAGCCCCCGCCAACCCCTACTGTAGTAAACGGGGAGCTACGTCCCCCCCACAACTATGGGCATATCTTTCCTTTCCGTCATTCTTCTCCTCCAACTTTGGTCGTCCGGCTTTCCCCTCCTCCCACACGCGTTTTCTCCTTCCCTGGTTCCTGGAGGGCCTGGAGGAAACCAACCTGGGTCTGGTGGTCTCCTGGCATGCTCGCCAAGGAAATCGCCGGCTCCTTTCCGTTTGCGAGGAAAGCATTCTGGGCCTTCTTGAGTTTTAAGGTAGCTTGAGATAATCTAGGTTTTCTATCTGGTGTGGTCACTTTTAAGCACGGCGGACTTCAACTCCCAGGATTCCCCCAGCCAGCATGGAATTCTGGGAGTCGGAAATCCCATCCGGTGGATCCAAAAGAAATTTGAAACGATGCCTCTGGCCGGTCCTGCTTAGTTGCTCAGGGCAAAAATGGGAGATTTTGGGAGGCGAGGGTGATGTATGGATGGGAACCATAGGCTTCTTGGCTCTTTCTCCTGGGAATGGGGGAGCTGCTTATAGCGGAATGCATGTCGTTTGGCCAACGAGGTCACTGTAGCTCGCATGGAATTCTCCCCCACAGTTGTATTTGAATCGAGAAAGGAAGAATTGCTCGCTTTACGTCGGTGATTATGTGCCCTAGGCGAATAGCCGGCTTCGGATTTCCCCCACCCCACCCCCTCCTGCCCCCAATCCATTTGGTCATTTTTCCAAACTACGACGGAAAGTCCTAATCCTGTCGTGGGTGACTGAGCTTTGCTTTGATCAAGGTTTGAGCTTGTGATGGCAGCCCAGCCTCCCAACGACGGCTGCTTTGCTTGGCATCTGGCCTCAGGGAGATGGAAAAGGAGCCTGTCTCCTCTTGAGCATGTCAAGGGATTTTCCATTTATTTTCCTGGCAGCAATAAGAAACTAGAAATTAATGCAATTTTTTAATTTAATTTTTAAAAAAAACACACACACACACACACACACAGCTGCCTGCCCAGCTTACAACTGTAAGCCCAGCTTACAACGATGAGATCTCCTCGTGGTCTCCTTTCCCTAACCCAACCCCCCCCCCCCCGCGCTTTGCTTCTTTTGCAATCAGCCATGGGGCTGCCCCACTATCCTCCCCCCGCCCCCCTGGAGTAGCTGTCCTAGCCCCCACCCACCCACCCTCTGGTAGAAGTCACAGGACGGAAGGAAGTACTTGAACGGCTCAGAATAGGATCGGAAGAGATCATCGCGTTGCACAGTTGGGATATATTTTTGTACCAAGCACAATTTTATGTACATCTTTCTTTTGTTTGGGGGTGGCGGGGGGGGGGTGGCGTTGTGGGTTTTGGGGAGGTGGGGTTGGGAAGAGCCAGGCTTGGATTTCCTTGGTGGCTTTTGACTTTCGGACGAGAAGGAAAGAGGGAAAAGGAAAAAGAAAAACGGAAAACCTGAAGACAATGTGAACAGTTTTAAGGCAGGGTGGGGTGTTCCCTGCCTCCGCAAGGGAGGGGCCGGCCACTTGCACTATATGACCCCCTGAAATGTGGGCTGGGGGGTCCTTGGTGGCCCCTCTCGGAGGCTTTTCTCCTTCCCAGCCAGAAAGGAAAACGGGGGACGCTCCCCACTTCCAAAAAAAGAAAAAAGGACTCTTGGCCACGAAGGACCACGAAACAAAAGGGAAAATTAATCCCAACCTGGTTTTTTTTCTCAGTGCCTTATCCTATTCCTCTCCATGGAGAAAAAAAAAAAAAAGATTTGATTTCAATAGCCTATCAAATTCCTTTCTCCGTTTCCTCCTCCCCCATTCATTCAACCACAATGCCCTTCCCCAACCTGGTGCTTCCATCTTGGGTTGGATTCCGACCCCCATGCTTCCCAGCCAGGTGACTCTGGGAAGGGCATCGGCGCCCGGAAGTTTGCTCTCGGACTGTAACGAGGCGTCCCATGTGAGGCGGGAACGACATCCCTGTAGATTTAACCTAGGAAAAGAGAAAATACATATTTATGGTATGTCTGCACCTTTATTCTGAATGCTTGACTGTTAGCAATATTACCTGTGTATATTATATATATTATATATATATATATATATAAATACTATATATGTATATGAAAAGTTATATCAAGCACCTTTTTAAAGAAGAGAAGACTATAAAAAGAAAACTTGGGAGGACTTTAGCAATGGCCACGATGGCGAATCCTGGTAGGATTTCGTCCCATTTTTCTGGGATTTTGCAGGTTTCCCGTCGCCCTTCTCCCCAGTCTGTTGGTCTTTACTTCCATGGGGGCAGACAGCGGGAGGGCTGCCCTCCGAAGCCCCCCCTTTGGAGTCTACCACAAAGCCCTTGACAAGTTGAAACTTAAGGTTCCCGAAACTCATTTTCATTCCAAAGTCGGTATTAAGCCATATTCTGGACATTGATGATCATCGGTTTCTGTTTTCCTTTTTTGGTTTAATTTCTTTGGTGGGAAATGCTTTAAATTCTACTCGTAAATTGCTGTAGAAGCAATCTTGATGTTTAAAAAAATTGGTATCACACAGCTAATATCTTCCTTCCCTTCCTTTTCCATTCTTCCTTTCCTTTCCTTTTCCTTCCTTCCTTCCTTCCTTTCTGTTGTCTTCATCTCCTTGTATCCTCCCCTCTTTCTTTCTCCCGTTTCTTCTTTCGTTCTGGATTCCTTCCCACCTGTCCTCAGATTTGCTCTTGGGGTTTCCATTCCTTCATTTCTTTTTCTGTTTTTCCCTATGTTCTCTCTTATGAAATGTGTGTCCCCAAGCAACTTGGCTCCAAATTGAGCTCCACTTTAAAATATTGGGCTCTTCCCCACTGGCCCCTAACTACAGCCCCGAATTGTGTTTTTCTGCTGTATCCTTCCTGATGTGGCCTTAAGAAAGACACCCGTAGATCATCCTTCGCTTTACAGGCATAAAGTTTTATTTTTTCCTGCCCGTTTCATCCGGTGCCCTTCGAGTGCAGCCCACAGCATGTGAAATCCTGCTGCTTCTGTCACCCATTTTCTTGGGGATAAAGGCTGCAATAATAATAATAATAATAAAAATAATAATAATAATAATAGCATTATTTCTGATTTCTGCAACCTCCTTTTGCAGGCTTTTTGCTGCTCTCTAAATAAATTAGCCCTTTCCAAAGCTGGTTGCATGGAGCCCTCTGCAGGACTGATCCCATTCCCAGATGTAGTTCCAGATGTGCAGGTTATTACAGAGGGGGCGTCCTGCTCAAGGACATCTTTGCTGGACAAAAGGCTCAGTCCATCCCATTCCTGCTGTAGCTTCCCAAAAGCCACAAGCACAAGATGATATATGAATCTCACCGAATAGGTCTAGTTCAAGCAGTCCTGATAGTTGCAGTGAATTTAAGGCTCCTTTTGGGGGTGGGGAGGGGGGGTGTAGATTAAAACTTTTGAGGGTGATGCGAGGTCCACAAATGCAAAATATAAATAACCATAAATTTAAAAAGTCTCAAGATTCTCAGTCATCCCAAAGGTGCCTTTTCAAGAGGCAACTGCCGGAAAGTCCAGTGGCCTCTTGAAAAACACCTTTGGGATAAATAAAAAAAGGGAGGGAAATCCATTTAATGTCCACATTCCTGTACTTCCTGCTGTGAAAACCCCCTTTTTATCCAAATCTGCCCAAATCTCCTCTTTGCTAGGATAGAAGCAAAATTCACTGGCGCTTCAAAACTTCTCCAAACCTTTCAAAGTTCAAACCTGCTTTCCCTCCCTACTTTTTTTGCACTTTTGCGACCGAAACTGGGAAGGGGAGGGAGGGGGAAAGGGCAGGGGAGCCCCCCCCGCCCAAAAAACTTTGCAATACTATTTTTTGAGCGTTCTGAAATGATTAAAACGACAAAAAACCAGAAGTTTATGCGTGAGTCTATAGATATTTTTAACTTGAATCTTTGGGTGGCACTTGAGTCTCAAAACTGTCAGTCTTGGCAATTGTCAGAGAAGCGTCTTAAGGGAACAACGATGTTCAAAGAGTCTGTATTGAAGTATCCAATAGTACTGTAATTCATGACTGTTAATAATAAAAATAATAATAATTCCAGTGCTTAGAGGGAAGTTTTTGCAGTGCTGCCGAAAATTACGTTTCAGCCGTGCTAACTCACTTCTTTTCTGTTGGTTGTTTACGTGCCATTTCTCTCATATCCAGCTCAAGACTGTTCCGTTAAGCCTTGATGGATGATCTATTAAACCGTAACTTCATCCAAGTTCTAAAGCAAGGTTTAAAGTCATCCCTTGGCAGAGCTCTAATAATAAGAGTTCAGAGTGTGGTCAGACCTATTTCATATACCGTAAAGGAGAAAAAAAAAATCCGTTTAAAAAAAATGTGATAATGAATGAGAAAATGCTTTGTAAAATTCACATTTACAAAATAATAAAAGTATGTTGAAAATGACGCTTCTCGCTGCCGCTCTTTCCCAGCATCGTCAAAAGCCGCTCAGTCGCCTGGATCACAAGAGGGGCAGGAAATAAATTTGATGAATAAATTAAACCTTGGGATGAGGCACCCCAATTCAGCACTGCCAACAAGGTGCACTTGAATAGCACCTTTGTTATTACACGTTTATCCTGCCTTTTATTATTTTATAAGTAACTCCAGGCAGTGAACATTCCCCATGCTCTTCCTCCTTCCTGTTTTCCCTGCAACAACAACCCTGTGAGGTGGGTTGGGTTGAGAAAGAAGGCCTGGCCCAAAGTCACCCAAGATGGCTTTCATGTCTTAAGGTGGTACTAGAACTCCCCGTCGCCTGGCGATTGGCCCACAGTGATTATTATTAAACGTGTGTGCTGCCTGGACTCTCAGGGATTCAACGCAACAACGCAACAAAGACAGGCCAATAAAACAGATGCAATAAAAAATAAAGATTAAAAAGATGGAAGTGCAATGAAGTGAGGCTCCCCCTCTTGCTCGCCAAAGACTTGGGGGTCTTGAGCAACAGCAGAGGGGGAAAGCCATCCAGATTTTTGGGGGGTGGGCGGGGCGAGCCTCCTGTCAGAAGGTGCTTCTGGGGTCCCAACGTTGCAGAATGGAAAAAGTGACGTGGCACCAAGTCACCTCCACCTGGCTGGGCTGTTGCCTGGCAGACTTCTAACTTGGTTGATGGGCTATAATAACCCAGTTTCCAAGCTTGCACGTGGACGGCGCCAGGCAAAGGCATGGGAGCTCCTGCCTGCAAGCCAGGGGGGGCCATGCAACTGCTGAACGCCTTTCCTGCCGCCGCCGCCGCCTCCCTATTCCCGCAGGTATTCCTGCAGGTGCAGGCTCCGCTTTTCGGATCATTGAACGGCCACTTTGCCCGGTCAGCTGCTCCTCCAGGGCTTGCATGCCTTTGTTGCTGCTGTCTTGCCATCTCTCTTTTGGCCGGCCATTGACCTCTAGTCTAGTTGGTAGGCAGTCTTGGCCCGGGGTGGAAGGGGATGCCCGCTGGGTGCGTCCACCTGCCTTACTCTCATCGCCTCTGCGATTGGTGCCACAAGCAAAAAGGTTGTCGGATTGGGGTCAAGATGCCCGATATCCGACTCCCTGCCTGGAGGGCACAAGCAGAATCCCTATGCAAGGGGAAGACTTGTGTGCGTGTAAGGGGAGGGGGGGGGCAACTCTATGTGGGGGAGCCAAGCCTGAACCCTCAACTTGACTACAGGCCGCATACAGGCGCACGTTACGAGGCTGCAATCCCCTCCGCGGGCGCCGGGGGCAGCAAAGGAGCGACCGTCTAGGAACGTCTAGGAATCTCCGGCCGCCTCTCTCTGTCTCTGTCTCTCGTAGTTCCAGCACCAGCGAGCCTGCAAAGCGGAAGGGGCGGGGCTCCGCGGCCTGGACTGCAACTCCCGTGTCGCCGCGCGGCGAGCCCACTTCCGGCGCGGGGGGGGCTGTCGGTCGGGCCGGGCCGGGCCGGGCCGGGGGCCCTGAGGCGGCGGCGGCGGCGGCGATGTTCGTGCAGGAGGAGAAGATCTTCGCGGCGAAGGTGCTGCGGCTGCGCATCTGCGCCCTGGACGGCGCCGAGTGGCTGGAGGAGGTGGCCGAGGACACGGCCATCGAGCGCCTCAAGGAGCGCTGCCTCAAGCACGTAAGCCCCCGCCCCGGGGTGGACTACAGAGCCCCTCATCCGCAGCCCGCCCCACGGCCTAGCCCCTGGCGTCGGGCCGCCCTTCCGAAAGGGACTGGCTACGGTGCCCATCATCCTCAGCCGGAACACCTGGAACGCCTGGGAAAAGGCGGTGGACTACAAAGCCCATCTCACTTGGCCGGTGTGTGGCCTCTTGAGCTGCCCAAGCCTCCTTTGGAGAGGGTGACCCCGTTGCCCATCATCCTCAGCCGGCCCCTTCCAGCAGCGATGGAGTCTTTTGTCCTTCATGCTGTGCCCCCCATTCAAGTTGGATTGACTGCAGTGCCCATCATCCTCCATCGGCACTTCTGCCTTCACACACTACCTAGCCTATCCTATTTGACCAGCCTGACCCCTGCAGCTCCTCCTGCCCTTTTAGAGGGCGTTGTCTACAGTGCCCATCATCCTCAGCCAGCACTGTGTGGCGCTCCTGACAGGGGTGATGGATTACATAGCCCATCATAACAATGCCCTTCTTCCAATCGGATTGACTGCGGCCTCCCATGGTTCCCAGCCAGCACAGCTTATCTGCAGATCTGCTGGCCCTCTGGAGGTCAGGGCCTTCAGCTCCTATCATCCCCAGCGGGGCAGCCGGCAGTGCTTCCAATCTGCTATAAGGCAATGCCCATAATCCTCTGCCGTCACCCTCATCTCTTCCAAATACAGTGCCCATCGTTCTTTGCCTGTACAGCCAACCAGTCCAAGCTCCAAATCCACGTGGAAGGATAGGTTACCATCCTCACCCCTTCTGGGCCATCTCCTAGTTTGAAAAGACCCAGGACCCTCACTGAGGACCATATACTTGGGCATTGGAGTCTTTTAAAGCTTAAACGTGTTTAAAAATTGGAGATGGAAACCATTCTTGTAGGGTGGGCTAATCTAGAAAGAAATTCATCTCCCCGCTTGCTTTTTGTGCCTAAGAAAAGGTTTGCAGTAACCAGATTTAAAAGGCCATATCAGCAGAAACCACTTTTTGGGTGGGGGGAGAGGGGGGGTGGCGGTGGGAATCTCTGGAGCGAATCCAGATATTGAATTCAGGTCAATTTTTCCTTCCCTTGTGAGAAAAACAAGAAACTGCCTTGTTTAACCGTCACACAGATGTGTCCTGAGCCAACCCTGACTTTGCATTTCAAAAGTTATTTTGAGAAATGAAGACTGGGAGCAGAATAACATTTCAAGACCGAAATATCCCAAAACAGATGCTTTCCATAAAGGGAAAAAAAAGTATTTAGTTTTTTGCATAGTTTGCATACTCGTATGAAAAAATACATGTGTTTTAAGAACAAACTCACACTGCTGTGTAATATTTTGGATGATTTTACTAAAGAGATTTTTTTTTTTAGCCAAATTTCCCTTTTTTTGGCTCAAAACATAGAAGCGCCACCCCCAAAATGGGCCAGTATGAGTTTTAGTGAACTTTTGGGGGACACCAAATGAATCTTTAGTTTGATTCTTGGAGATCTGCTCACTTTATTTTAAGAAAAGGGGAAACTCTTTGCATTTCCATTTTAATGTTTTCGTTTTTAAACGGGCACAGATTTCCAAATGAACAATATTTTACCAAATGACTATCCCCCGTCTAGTTTTTAAAAAGCCAATCAGGATGTTGAAGGGGATCTTAACAGACATTTATGCAGAGTGGCAAGCCTTATGTTTGGGATCAGTTGATAACATCTCCTGTCGCCTGCAAAAGGTCATCGCGGGAGAATATAAAAATAAACCAGCCCTGACATTACTGCAGAAGAAAGTCATGCAGAGCCCTGTACGAACCTCATATATGTGAAGAAATTCCCATTATTTCTCTGGTCCGTCTGTGCAAGTAATCCTCAACTTACAATCACAATTGGCACCAGAATTTCCCTTGCTTAACAAGCTGGTTGTTAAGTGCTTCATACCCAATTTTACAGTCTTTTTGCTGTGGTTCTTAAGTGAATCATTCCCCCCTGCAAAGAAGTCCCTCTGACAAGCAAAGTCAGTGGGGATTCACTTAACAATCATGTTACTAACTTAACTAACAATGATGTTACTAACTGCAGTGATTCAGTTAGCAACTGTGGCAAGAAACGTCATAAAAAGGGGCACAATTTACTTAACTGTCTCGCTTAGCCACAGAAATTTTTTGGGCTCAGTTGTGGTCCTAAGTCAAGGACTACGTGCATGCTGTAATTTTCGTTCTCCTCTTGAACCCTCCTTATCCTGTCTTCCCGTCCAGTTATTTTACATTCCCCTGGAAGAGGCTGTTTTGCCCAGGAAACCTAGTGATGAGGAGGACAAGGCTGTTTTCAAAGGTTCACTCTGTTCCCTCCCCCTCCCCCCCCCCCGCCGCCCCCAATCCCCTCCCTGCAGTGCGTGCCAGGCAGCCTTGAAGACCCGAAAAGCGTGACGCACCACAAACTCATCCACGCTGCTTCGGAGAAAGTGCTGAATGACACCAAGACCGTCTCGGAGGAAAACATTCAGGATCGAGGTGAGGGAGCGGCCGGGGATCCCAAGGGGGGTTCAGAAACAACACCCCCCCCCCCTCTGAAAATGCGGAGAATGGGAGGCAAGGTTGGACGGAATTTTGAGAGGGTCTCAAATATCAGAGGAAGGTCGCTTTCAGCATCTTGCTCATCCAAATATGTAAGAGTTGGAGGAGTACTTTGGAGATCATCCAGTCCAACCTGCTTTCCACTGCAGGAATCCACCACTATGGGATCTCCAGCAGATGGCTATCCAAGCCTCTGCTTGAGCCCTTGTGGCAAAGGGACGCTGGTCATTTGGCCATCTCTTACCCTGATAGGAGCTGTCCTTCTGCCTCATAGTGACCATAGATACTTCCCTTGGTATTTACTGACTCCATCTTCCTTCTGTCCTTTCTCCTCTTTTTTTCCTTTTCCTTCCTTCCTTCTTTCCTTTTTTTCTTCCTCCTTCTTTATTTCATCCTTCCTCCCATCTCCTCTCCTCTTTCTTTCCATCCTTGACTTTTTTTTAATCTCCCTCCCTCCTTTCCTTCCTCCCTCCCTTCCTTGATCCTTTTTGCACTGGGCAAGACATTATTTTTCCCCTCCCTCCAGCTTCTTTCATCCCGTCAAAGCAGGAAATTACGCCAGCCACGACATCTCATTCCACTTATTTTCTTCTTGTCTCCTCAGATGTTTTGGTCCTCGTGAAGAAAAGGGCTCCACCAGCACCTCCCAAAATGGCCGAGGTCTCTGCCGAGGAAAAGGTGAGTCCCACGGGCCCAGATGTGGAAAGACTTTCGGTCTTCAAAGCTGCCCTTTAGCATCTGGTCCCTCCTTTCATCCTTGGTTCACACCACCGGCCTGCTTGGACTCTTTTACCATGTGAGGCCAAAGTGAGCTTTTGCCATGGAAGCCGGCTGGGTGTCTTCAGGCCAGTCCTTGTCTCTCAGCCCAACCCACCTCACAGGGTGGTTGTTGTGGAAATAACGGGAGGAGGAAGGTATGTTAGATATGTTTGCCACCTTGAGTTATTTCAAACATAATAAAAGCAGGAGATATAAACAGATAAAAGACAGGCCTCCCATCTTAAAAATAAGCTTAGTTGTCCTTTGAGGTAACCGGGTAGCTGCCGGCAACCACAGAGTGGATGTTTGGAGGCGAGGGGCGACGTTGTCTGAACACGGATTCCTTTCCCGTGTAGCGGAAGCAGGAACAGAAGGCGCCCGACAAAGAGGCGATCCTGAAAGCCACCACCAACCTCCCCTCCCACAGCGTGGATCGGAGCGTGGCCCACCACAACATGAGAGACGTGAGTCTTTGGCTTCTCCTGGGGGCTGCCCCTTGGCCCACTTCTCTCCAGGCCCAACACCTGGGCATCCCATAATAGCCCCAGGGAGGGGAGGGGGAGGAAGCCGCAGTCCTGTTCTTTGGTTACTTAGCAATCGTTGAAAGTTACAACAGACCTCCCCTTCTTCCCCCAAAAAAGCTACTTATGTCCCCATTGCGATGACATCAACTGGTTTTTGAGATTCTCAAAGGACAAATTTAAAAAGAAAAGTGGAGGTTACTGTGCATTTAAAAAAATCAATTAAATTGAAATGGATTCTTCTGTCCAAAGTCAAAAGTGCTAATGGTGAAGAAAAGAAAAGAGGCGCTTTGGAGTAAGTTTCTTCAGGGTCGTTAATTTTCTTCTTCCTTCTAGTTTCAGACGGAGCTTCGGAAAATCTTGGTCTCGCTCATCGAAGTGGCCCAGAAGCTGTTAGCACTGAACCCAAACGCTGTCGAACTCTTCAAGAAGGCAAATGGTGCGGGGAAAATATGTATTTGTTTCTGATGGTTTAACGCAGTGGTCGCCAGCCAGTGGAACTGGGGACCACTGGTGGTCCACGAGAAAATTTTGGTGGTCCACAGAGAAATGTCACCCCAAAGCAATTAATCCAGGCTGCGTGGGAACATAAGGCTGCGCCGCACACATGGCCTGTGGGAACACAAGGCTTGTGTCGCTTGCATTGCGAACAACACGAGGTAGAGAGGGAAGGGGGGAAAGGATGGAGGGGTGAACTTGTCCCGCTCACCCCATGTGCCTGGCCTGGCCACCGGGCTGCTTCTTTCCGCTTCTTTCTTCTGCTTTTGGCTGTACCCAAGGGAAGCAGCAGAAGTCTTTCTTTCTCTTCCCCAAACTCCCCCAGAAATGAGTCTTTGGGACCTTACAAGGCCTCCTGCCCCAAGAGGCTGTGCCGGCAAAGACTCATTTCTGGCGGAGTTTGGGGGAGAGAAAGAAAGACTTCTGCTGCTTCTGCTGCTTTCCTTGCATGAAGCCAAAAGTCTCTCTCTCTCCCCCGAGAATGGAGCTGGAGACGGTATCCTGCAAAACCAAATAAAGAATGATCGATCGGTAGGAAAATGGGGTGGGGAATTTTCCTGCAGACCTTTTTTGGAAATTTTCAGTGCCATTTTAACTTTGAAAGGACTGTTACAAGTCTAGGACTACCTGTAACTTCAAATGGTCATTAAGTGAATGGTTTTTAGCTACCCGAAAGCGGGCTGAAGGAGGGGTCATAAGTGAAGGACTGCTTATAGAGAATAACCTAGAGATCCCAGCTGGTCCTTCTCCTTCCTTACCCAGCCCTTTTTCTTCCTCCAGCCATGTTGGATGAGGACGAGGATGACCGAGTGGACGAAATCGCTCTGCGCCAGCTGACCGAAATGGGTTTCCCTGAGAGCAGAGCCATCAAAGCCCTTCGCCTCAGCCAGTAGGTAGCACCAGGGGTGTGTGCATGTGTGTGAATAGGAATAAAATAGAAATAAGAACAGAATCGGAATAAGAATAGAATTCTTTATTGCCAAATGTGATTGGACACACAAGGAATTGGTCTCTGGTGCATATTATTATTGTCGTTCATTATATCCTATATTATCTATGATTCGATGTTCTGCGTGTTGACGTGTGTCCTTTGTCCTGCAGCATGTCTGTGACTCAGGCCATGGAGTGGCTCATCGAGCATGCCGATGACCCCACAGTCGACGCCCCCATGCCAGGCCACGTCCCCGTGGAAAGCGCAGGCGAAGAAGTGGGGCTGGCCGTCCCCCAGGCAGTCAATGGGGCCAGCTCAGCAGAGGAGTTGAAGGACGAGCTGACGGAAATATTCAAGAAGATACGGAGGAAACGAGAGTTCCGTCCGGATCCGCGGGTACTCTCCCTGCTCCGGGTTTTCCCACTCACCACCCCGGTTTTAAACACCCCACTTCCGGCCCCCAAGTATAATCGACTCTTAGGATTAGTCTAGGATAGCCCGTCTTCTGCCTCCGTAGTCCTTGACTTACAACTGATCACTTAGCAACTGTTCAAAGTTACAACAGATTCTATATCTATACATATCTATATATATATCTTTTTGTATTTCTCTCTCTAGAGAGAGAGAGAGAGAGAGAGAGATGTATATGTATATATGTATAAAAATCTATGTTTGTCTGTCTGTCTAATTCCGGGCTTCTCTTCCAGGCGGTGGCAGCCTTAATGGAGATGGGCTTTGATGAGAAAGAAGTGGTGGACGCCCTCAGGGTTAACAACAATCAGCAAAACGCCGCAGTGAGTCTCTTTAAGCAGCGCTGATTTATGAGACAAGGCAGGATAAGGGCTTGAAGACGTCCACAGATATCGAAATACACACCAGAACTCAGATGAGAACTGTAAGACTAGAATTATTTCATGCTTTACTTCCAGCACTGGGCCATGTGCAGTTTGTCCTTTTAAACAGTCCTCACAGCTGCAGCCCATGAAGGGGATCAGGGCCCTTTCCTCTCCCGCAGACCATGCCATTCATGTTTCTCCGTTATCCGCTCCTCCCTGAATGCCCTAGGATGAAGAGGGGATAGGCCTGGGTCTTCCTCTGAATGCCCAGCCAGCCTGTGCCCTCCCCCAGTTTCCTCCACACCTCCAGAGCCACACTTCCACTAGCTGTCAGCTGTTCCTCCTCTCCCTCAGAGTCAGACTCCAACAGGGGCATGACATGCAGTATACAGGTGCTCTATGGAAGACAGGCTGGTTGCAGTCTTAAGTGTCCGTCAAAGTGTTTACCTGTCCTGTTTGGTAGGTAGACGAGACCAGGCAACTATAAAAGACAAACTCAACTGACTTGGAGTTGCTCACACTTCTTCTCGTATGTCGTCCTCGGAGGTCTGCAAAAGGGTCACTCTTTGTCTTTTATCTCCTCCTCCTCTCAGTGCGAGTGGCTGCTGGGCGAGCGGAAGCCGACCCCAGAAGATTTAGACAAAGGGATCGACCCTGCCAGTCCCCTTTTCCAAGCCATCTTAGAAAACCCCGTGGTGCAGCTGGGGCTGACAAACCCTAAAACTCTACTCGGTAAGTCCCACGGCTCCCCAGGAATTTCGGTGCAGACTCCGGAGACGAGGAAGGCGGGCCCAGTTGCGGTCGTAAGCCGAAAAGGAGGGCGGGAAGTGGGGGGGAAACTAACCTCCACCCTCTTCTCTTTTCTCTGGCAGCTTTTGAAGACATGCTTGAGAACCCCTTGAACAGCACGCAGTGGATGAACGACCCTGAAACCGGGCCGGTGATGTTACAGATCTCCCGGATCTTCCAGACGTTGAATCGCACCTAGAGGGCTCCGGCTATCTCCGCTGCGCCCTGTTGGGTTTTCTGCTTTGCTCCCACCCCGGAAGGAAGCCGAGGAGCTTTGGGAAGGCGGCGCCCGAAGTGTGTTTTCTTTCTGCCTTTTGAGTCTTTGGGTTGACGTGTTAACGGACTTTCGGTTTGGTCGCACTTCCGGCTTCTGCCCCGTGCCGTTTTCCTCTCTTTTAGATGTAGTAGGAGACCGTGGGATGAGAACACCGTCCCCTTTCCTTTCGACTGTTTCTATTTTTGTTTTAAAAAAAGAAAGAAAGAGAATGAGAAAATGATCCAACGTCCTAAACCGGCGTTTGCCAATTGGCAATCCAACCACTGGAAAAAAAAATAAAGACGGCTTCCTCCGTACGCGCAGAGCTCCGGGAATGGCACGGGGTTCGTTTTTGCACGCAAGCTCTTCTTTCTCGGGATGTTTGGTTTCTCCTCTTAAGTTATTTCTGTTGTAAAAATACAGAAGGGTTTTTAAACTGACGGTCTGAGAGGTTTTTTTTTTTTTTTTGCTTTACGAGACCCAGCCGGGTTCCCCAACTCAACCAGCCCTGCCTTAGGGACGTTAAAAACCTTTCAGTCTCTTCTGATGTGTAGAAAAGGAGAGAAAAAGCCGTTTTTAACAAGATACATCTCCTAAAACATGTTTTTGTGTGTCAGAACACAGCGCTGTTCTCCCAACTTGAGCAGGGACAGCAATGAAGTCTTGTCGGGGTGTTGGAAGAATTATCCCTCTGGGTTCAGTCCCAAGTGGGGAAAAAGACACTGGAAACATGGAGGCCAGGGGTGGGATTCCACCAGTTCGCACCTGTTCGCTAGAACCGGTTAACATTCTAAGCAGTTTGGAGAACTGGTTGTTAAAGAAATTACTGGGCTAATCCTGTAAGGAAGGCAGGAAGGAAACATTCTGGTGTTGCTTACAGAAACTGCCTCTCCGTTAATCCTTATTACATTCTTGGCAGGACTAGACTTCCTGTCTCGGGAACTTTAAGGTTTAATGGTGGACAGGACCGCATGGCTTAGAGCTCCAAAGAAGGAAGGTCAAGAAGGAGGAAGGTCTGAGATGCTGAGAGCGTTTTATACCCTCTATTGAGATTTGAATTTGAGCTTGTATTCTGATTGGTTGTCAGACTCCCATGGGGCTATGCAGAGGCAACTTTGTAGGCTGTCCTGAGTCCCAAGCTTGGTTGAGCCTTGCTGGATGATGATGTAATGAAAAGGCTTTAGGCAATTCCTATAGCTTTTACCTGGAAATCTTTGTTATGTAAAACATTCTGTCCCAGGCCTTAATTAACAAAGGTGGGGGTGAGCTTCTGTTCTCTTTAGGGGAAATATCCTGCCTTTTTAATATTTCCCAGGATATTTCATTTCTCTAGGAGAGGGGTGGATGCGAACTTCCTGCAGATGAACAAAGCGATCGCTTGGCAACTGACTCGTACTTAACGATGGTTGCAGAAGGGGTGAAGTGATCCCCTTTTGCAGCCTCCTGACAAGCAAAGTCGATGGGGAAGAGGCCAGATTCGCTTCACAATCGTGGGGCTAACTTCACAACCGCAGTTATTAACAGGGGGGGAAAGATTGTAAAACGAGGGAAAACTCATTTAAGTGTCTGGCTCAACCCATGGACCCCAGAAGTTGTGGATGCTCCATCACTGGAGGCTTTTAAGAAGAGGCTGGATAGCCATTTGTCCGAGGTGGGACAAGGCCACCTGCTTGGGCCGGTTGGATTAGATAGATAGATATTCTGCTTTTCGGGAATTAAAAAGAATAGGGAGATAAGCCAAGGCTGTGCAGGAGGGATTTGGCATCAACCCTGCTGGAAAACTTCGCACGCAACACACTGAAGCCGCCAATTTGCTCTACCGCCTCTCCACCGTTCCCACGGGTGGGTTGTGCATTCCCAGAGCGCCAGGCTGAGTAAACCGAGGTTCAATTCGCCACGATTCAGCGGATGCTTACAAACACATCTTATTTTGGAGGTGAGGCAAGCGGAGGCTGCACCAGGAAAGCGGGTGCCCTTGCTGGTGGGGCAGCCACACGCATTAACCTTGTGGTGGGGGGGGAGAGTACTGTGTGTGTGTGGAATCTGCCCCAAGTAAGTCACCCCCCCAAAGTCTCGATTCTGCTTTGCCTCTGGGGGGGAAAGAAGGGCTTGATGATTGCAAAGCTTGAATAATTTGCATTTTCTGCAGCATTTCCTTGTAGACCCCCGCCCCCACCCCCAGGCAACTGGGGAAGGAGAGGGCTGCAGGGCTGCAACCGCTGCCAGGGCATGCCTGAACGAGGGGGGGGCACTTGCTCTCCCATTCTCCCCCCCCCCCCCCGCTTGGAAGGGTGGGTGGGGGGCTTTCTGCACCACCTCGTGTTATTTGCAGGCAAGGCCGGAAGCGTGCAACATGTAGCATTCATGCAACAGCCCCAAAACAGCATGAAGAGCCCCCCCCCCACCAGCACACAATAGGGCAGGGAAACTCCCGCACGAAGCAGCCGTTCTCCGCAAATGCACGCGTCCTCTGCCCGCGCATGCGCCTCCGCGCCGCCCTACTTTCGCTCGCCCCCGCTGGCATCGGGATCAGCTAGAGCCAGATCGCTCCGCCCACTCCCAGCCTCTGCGCTGCCTATTGTAATAAGCCACCAATCCAGAGCGGGGAGGGGCGTGCTCCCGGCCCTCAGCCCCGCCCCTTTCGTTCAAAACGTCGCCCGCTGAAAAAAAAAAGTGAAGCGCGTTTCAAAGAAGGGGGGGGGGTAAAGGCCGCGCTTGCGCAGAACGCTGCTCTTCTCGAGCAGGGCCGCTTGACCTCTTTATTTCATTACTCCCGTTGGGGGGGGACAGGCGCCCGTACGCTTGCGCAGAAGAGCGACAGGCGGAGGGCGGGAAGGAGGGAGTCGCGCTGACGTCTCTCTCTCTCTCTCTCTCTCTCTCTCTCTCGGCCGCGCATGCGGCTTAGCTCGGCTTCATCCTCTCTCCTGCTGCTACCCGATTGGGGAGAGGGCTTACAGGACCCGTACACGCGCCTGCGCGCTCCCCCGCGGTCCTTCGGGCGCCGAGGAGAGGAGGCCCGCCGCGCGTGCGCGCCGCCCCCCCCCAGCGTCCGGGAGGGGCCACGTCTGCGTCTGCGCGCCTCAGGGGGGCGGGAGAATCCGCCTAGTCGGGCCCAGCTCTGCGCAGTCGCCGTGTGCGCTTTCAGTCGGCTGGCGGCCGCGGGAGGGCGAGGAGAGAAAGTGCTTCTCTGCGCCTGCGCAGCGCTCGCCCCTCGCCTGGAGCAGCCTGAGGAGGAGGAGGAGGCGGCGGCGGCGGCGGTCATCGCGTGAGGGGACCCGGGCTCGGCCACCCACCGCCGCCTCGGTCGAAGCGCGGCCTTGCGGGCGGAGCGCCGTCGGAGCGAGGGAGAGCGAGCGAACGAGCGCGCGCGCGCGGCGGCCGGGCCAGGCCGGTCTGAGGCGAGGCGAGGCTCCCTCCTCCCTCAACATGTCGGCGCCGGCGGCCAAAGTCACCAAGAAGGAGCTCAACTCCAACCACGACGGGGCCGACGAGATCTCCGGTAGGCCCGGAGGGGCGGGAAGGCGGGCGGGCGGGGCCGGGCTCGGGCTCCTTTCCTTCCTCCCTCCGCTTCCCTCGCCGCTCGGCCGCCATCTTCCCCCGGAGGCGCGAACGGAGGAGGAGGAGGGGGAGGCGGCGGCGCGGGCAGGCAGGCGAGGAGGCCGGATGTGCGGCCTGGCCCTCCGATGGCCGGCTCTCTCGCCCCGCCGTGGAGGAAGAGGAGGAGGAGGCCATCTTCGGCGCCCCCTTTGTCTGCCGCTCGAGGGGGCCCCACCGGCCCCAGGGCGCCGCCCCCCCCCCCCCCTCCCCCCCCCCCCCCCCCCCACACACGCCGATTAGGCCGCCATGATGGCTGCGCTCGCCGCATGGCCGGGGCCGCGCGCGCTCCCTCCCTCCCTCTCCGGGGGCGCCACGTGCGCTCCTCGCCCCCCTCCCTCCGCGGAGGGAGGGAGGGGGGCGCCCCTCCCGCGCGCGCCCGCCTGCAACGCCCCCCCCCTTTCCCTCTCTCCCGCGAGCGGAGCACGTGCCGGGGAAACTTGGCGCCCGGCAGGTGGTTGGATGGGGGGGAGGGGGGGGGGGTTTTTTTTCCCCTTACCCCCCGCCCCCCCCCAGGAGGAGGAAGGGAGGCGGGGCTCCTTCTGGCTGCTGCTCCTGTTGCTGCAACGAGCGTGGGATTCCCAAGATAACGGGGGGGGGGCGTTGGGGGACTTTGGTTAAGGTGGGGAAGAGGGTCTTTTTCCCGCCTTCCGATGCGGCTGGGAAATTGTGTCTTTGGGGGTTGTGTGTGTCGGGGGGGGGGGGGGCTTCTCTTGCGGGGGGGGGGCGGGGTAGGATTGGACCGGAAGCCAAAGGACACGGCGGCTCTTCTTACGGTTCAGGGCTTCACCAGATGTTTAAACTCGGATTCGCCCCCCCTCCCTTTATTGATTGACTTATTTATCCATCCGCCTTGTTGTTCCTGCGAGGTCCCATTGGATCCCGCCTTTTTAAGACGGGACTCCAGGCCTCCTGTTTTCCACACCTCCTCCTCCTCCCCGCCACAACAACCCTGCGAGGTGGGTTAGGCTGCTAGAAAAAGAGGACTGGTCCAAAGTCACCTGGCCAGGCTGCTAGGCCAAGCTGAAACTGGGCAAAAAAACCCAACAAAAACCCTTTTTGCATGCCGCCCTTAAGCGGATCTGTGGGTGGGGGCATCGTGTTTCTGTGGTAAGGGGAAGCCCGAAGCGGGGGCTTCCCTTCCTGCAGGGAGGATTTGGGGTTGCTGCCGAAAGAGGAAAGGGGGCCTGATTTCAACTGTTGTGAACACTTAGTCTTGATGCCATGTGGGATGTTTGAAAACATTGCCTTGTTCCTCCAGTTTGGTCCTTTTTGGAGGAGCGTCAATAAACTTTTATTTCCCCTCCAGACAAAGAGCAGCAGGAAGCAATTGAACATATTGATGAAGTACAGAATGAAATAGACAGGTAAACTGGGTGTTTAATCTGCTTTTCAAAGTTGTTTTGTGGTTTGCCATCCTGTAGAAAGGACTGTGTTGTAAATAAGTTTTCCTGATTTAATAACCAGCTTGATAGGATGCAATCTAAGGAGATGGTTTTTAATATACAGAATTTCAATGTCTAAAATGTGAGCTTTTGCTTGGAATTAGTTTAGGAAATTCCTTTTTTTTTTTCTTTTTACAATGTAACACAATTGGCCTGTTTCAGATTTTTTTTTCCCACTCACTGTTTTGAGGATTTGACTTAAATTGTAACATTATTTCTGCAAAACAAGAGCTCATGCAGAAAATTAAAATGGTGTAATGCTCAATTCATTATTTTTTTTGTACACTGGAACTTCTCAGTTGAGATTTTCCAGCTAAGGCCAAAACAAAATCTTTATTTGATAAATGTTACATTTTATGATGGAAGTGTGGATTTGGCATTTTGATATGTGAAAGCTTCCA